AATGTCAGTGTAATAAAACTTGTTACACAGTTTGTCTTATGTGAATTTGATATTGCTCTAATTTCAAACACAAGAAGAACTAAACGATCGATAGAAGGCCAAGTTCATACAGTACCATGGGATTTTAGGTAAATTTATATAAAAAATATAATATGGTACATAATAAGTTATAACATATTTCTATATCTCCATCTCTTTCTCCATCTCCATCTCCATCTCCATCTCCATCTCCATCTCCATCTCCATCTCCATCTCCATCTCAATCTACATCTACATCTACATCTACATCTACATCTACATCTACATCTACATCTACATCTACATCTACATCTACATCTACATCTACATCTACATCTACATCTACATCTACATCTACATCTACATCTACATCTACATCTACATCTACATCTACATCTACATCTACATCTACATCTACATCTACATCTACATCTACATCTACATCTACATCTACATCTACATCTACATCTACATCTACATCTACATCTACATCTACATCTACATCTACATCTACATCTACATCTACATCTACATCTACATCTACATCTACATCTACATCTACATCTACATCTACATCTACATCTACATCTACATCTACATCTACATCTACATCTACATCTACATCTACATCTACATCTACATCTACATCTACATCTACATCTACATCTACATCTACATCTACATCTACATCTACATCTACATCTACATCTACATCTACATCTACATCTACATCTACATCTACATCTACATCTACATCTACATCTACATCTACAACTACATCTACATCTACATCTACATCTACATCTACATCTACATCTACATCTACATCTACATCTACATCTACATCTACATCTACATCTACATCTACATCTACATCTACATCTACATCTACATCTACATCTACATCTACATGTACATCTACATCTACATCTACATCTACATCTACATCTACATCTACATCTACATCTACATCTACATCTACATCTACATCTACATCTACATCTACATCTACATCTACATCTACATCTACATCTACATCTACATCTACATCTACATCTACATCTACATCTACATCTACATCTACATCTACATCTACATCTACATCTACATCTACATCTACATCTACATCTACATCTACATCTACATCTACATCTACATCTACATCTACATCTACATCTACATCTACATCTACATCTACATCTCAGTTTCCGTTTCCGTCTACGTCTACGTCTACGTCTACGTCTTCGTCTTCGTCTTCGTCTTCGTCTACGTCCACGTCTCCGTCTCCGTCTCCGTCTCCGTCTCCGTCCCCGTCCCCGTCCTCGTCTAGGTCTAGGTCTAGGTCTAGGTCTAGGTCTAGGTCTAGGTCTAGGTCTAGGTCTAGGTCTAGGTCTAGGTCTAGGTCTAGGTCTAGGTCTAGGTCTAGGTCTAGGTCTAGGTCTAGGTCTAGGTCTAGGTCTAGGTCTAGGTCTAGGTCTAGGTCTAGGTCTAGGTCTAGGTCTAGGTCTAGGTCTAGGTCTAGGTCTAGGTCTAGGTCTAGGTCTAGGTCTAGGTCTAGGTCTAGGTCTAGGTCTAGGTCTAGGTCTAGGTCTAGGTCTAGGTCTAGGTCTAGGTCTAGGTCTAGGTCTAGGTCTAGGTCTAGGTCTAGGTCTAGGTCTAGGTCTAGGTCTAGGTCTAGGTCTAGGTCTAGGTCTAGGTCTAGGTCTAGGTCTAGGTCTAGGTCTAGGTCTAGGTCTAGGTCTAGGTCTAGGTCTAGGTCTAGGTCTAGGTCTAGGTCTAGGTCTAGGTCTAGGTCTAGGTCTAGGTCTAGGTCTAGGTCTAGGTCTAGGTCTAGGTCTAGGTCTAGGTCTAGGTCTAGGTCTAGGTCTAGGTCTAGGTCTAGGTCTAGGTCTAGGTCTAGGTCTAGGTCTAGGTCTAGGTCTAGGTCTAGGTCTAGGTCTGGGTCTGGGTCTGGGTCTGGGTCTGGGTCTGGGTCTGGGTCTGGGTCTAGGTCTAGGTCTAGGTCTAGGTCTAGGTCTAGGTCTAGGTCTAGGTCTAGGTGTAGGTCTAGGTCTAGGTCTAGGTCTAGGTCTAGGTCTAGGTCTAGGTCTAGGTCTAGGTCTAGGTCTAGGTCTAGGTCTAGGTCTAGGTCTAGGACTAGGTCTAGGTCTAGGTCTAGGTCTAGGTCTAGGTCTAGGTCTAGGTCTAGGTCTAAGTCTAGGTCTAGGTCTAGGTCTAGGTCTAGGTCTAGGTCTAGGTCTAGGTCTAGGTCTAGGTCTAGGTCTAGGTCTAGGTCTAGGTCTAGGTCTGGGTCTGGGTCTGGGTCTGGGTCTGGGTCTGGGTCTGGGTCTGGGTCTGGGTCTGGGTCTGGGTCTGGGTCTGGGTCTGGGTCTGGGTCTGGGTCTGGGTCTGGGTCTGGGTCTGGGTCTGGGTCTGGGTCTGGGTCTGGGTCTGGGTCTGGGTCTGGGTCTGGGTCTGGGTCTGGGTCTGGGTCTGGGTCTGGGTCTGGGTCTGGGTCTGGATCTGGGTCTGGGTCTGGGTTTGGGTCTGGGTCTGGGTCTGGGTCTGGGTCTGGGTCTGGGTCTGGGTCTGGGTCTGGGTCTGGGTCTGGGTCTGGGTCTGGGTCTGGGTCTGGGTCTGGGTCTGGGTCTGGGTCTGGGTCTGGGTCTGGGTCTGGGTCTGGGTCTGGGTCTGGGTCTGGGTCTGGGTCTGGGTCTGGGTCTGGGTCTGGGTCTGGGTCTGGGTCTGGGTCTGGGTCTGGGTCTGGGTCTGGGTCTGGGTCTGGGTCTGGGTCTGGGTCTGGGTCTAGGTCTAGGTCTAGGTCTAGGTCTAGGTCTAGGTCTAGGTCTAGGTCTAGGTCTAGGTCTAGGTCTAGGTCTAGGTCTAGGTCTAGGTCTAGGTCTAGGTCTAGGTCTAGGTCTAGGTCTAGGTCTAGGTCTAGGTCTAGGTCTAGGTCTAGGTCTAGGTCTAGGTCTAGGTCTAGGTCTAGGTCTAGGTCTAGGTCTAGGTCTAGGTCTAGGTCTAGGTCTAGGTCTAGGTCTAGGTCTAGGTCTAGGTCTAGGTCTAGGTCTAGGTCTAGGTCTAGGTCTAGGTCTAGGTCTAGGTCTAGGTCTAGGTCTAGGTCTAGGTCTAGGTCTAGGTCTAGGTCTAGGTCTAGGTCTAGGTCTAGGTCTAGGTCTAGGTCTAGGTCTAGGTCTAGGTCTAGGTCTAGGTCTAGGTCTAGGTCTAGGTCTAGGTCTAGGTCTAGGTCTAGGTCTAGGTCTGGGTCTGGGTCTGGGTCTGGGTCTGGGTCTGGGTCTGGGTCTGGGTCTGGGTCTGGGTCTGGGTCTAGGTCTAGGTCTAGGTCTAGGTCTAGGTCTAGGTCTAGGTCTAGGTCTAGGTCTAGGTCTAGGTCTAGGTCTAGGTCTAGGTCTGTGTCTGTGTCTGTGTCTGTGTCTGTGTCTGTGTCTGTGTCTGCGTCTGCGTCTGTGTCTGTATCTGTATCTGTATCTATATCTATATCTATATCTATATCTATATCTATATCTATATCTATATCTATATCTATATCTATATCTATATCTATATCATATACATATACTGGACTGTAGGTGAATACCACTCAGAATACGACAATGGTGTACTGTATTTTATTTTGAATAAAACAATAAAAGTTTACTTTGGTGCACGCACAAAATATATTTCTTACGTAGATGGTACAACGATTTTGTAATTACATAAGTATCCATATATTATTTAACACGTGATATTTATTCTAAAGATATACATTTTTCAGGAACGAAAGACACCTTCTATCCACTGAGGAATTACGTAATGTGGAGTTGTTTAACTGTTTATTAAACGAGCGTGCCGTGACGCCTGCTTTCAAATTTACAGGAATACCTTATTCTTTTGTTTGTGATGGATTTATGGATTGCAAAGATAATCTTGATGAAAAGTGGTGCGGAAAATATTCGAATACAGATTGTGGCCAAGGCGACTCTTTGAAAACTTACCTTTTATACTCAAAGTTTGTGACCGTGGGCCAAAGCAAAATTTGCAACGGTTTCCAAGACTGTTTCGACAACAGTGATGAGAAGTTTTGTAACGTATGTTCGGAAACTTTAGCAACAGGCGAAACCTGCTTACCAACCTGGTGGTTTCACAATAGTTCGGTCAATAGCGTATTTCAACGTCCGGCGAGGCTACCTCTACAGAAAGTCAACTATACCAGTTGCAACAATATCGAGTGTTTGGTTCAGAATGATATAAATAAACGTGTATCTTTTTGTAAAACTAAGGCCATTAAAACTACTGATGTAAGTGGAAAACTCTTTGCCCCATCGTGTTTTTATATGGATAATAGTAATCTACAAATACAATTGGGTTGTGGATGTGGGAGTCACATAATTTACAACTGTGTCAATATGGAATGTGGTCCTGGATTTTACAAGTGTAAAAATGGATATTGCATTCCCAACCGCCTAATACTTGATGGAAAGCAACATTGTCCTTTACAGGATGACGAATTCAATGAGGGTTCTCTGCAGTTCTATTGCCGAAAATCCAAACCTCGAATTAAACAGCTTTATAGTCAGTACAAATTGTGTGATGGAACTTGGGATTGCTTACTTGGTGACGACGAGGCGCTCTGTCACGAAAACTGTCCTTCAGGATTTTTCTGCCTATGGGGTGTTACTAAACTTACAGACTACCGTCAAGTAAATTACACAAATTTGTTTACCACTCTCGACTTAAACATAAAAGTGTTTCGTGCCTCTGGCCTTGATTTACTTCCGGCGTATGTTCCTTGGTATATCAGGATGGATAAACTTTTAGAACTGTATTTGTCAAACTGTAACTTGAACAATGCAAAACTAAATGAAATTTTATTTTCCATGAGCAACAGTTTATATAATGTTTATCATTTAGATCTGAGCTACAACAATATCAGTTCCGATTCTTATTTTGTTTTATTTATATCTCTAAGAAGTTTGAATTTGTCTCACACATCAGTCTCAAAAATGCGTTTACAAATGAGTAAATTGACTTTTTTAGAAAAACTAGATTTGTCGTTTACACCACTCAGTTCTCTCAAATTTGTTAACAACAGACGCTTTTCGATGCTCTACTTAAATATAAGTTTTACATTCTTAAACACGGTTCATTGGTATGACAAGGATATATCTATCGATGTCATTGACTTAAGAAATACTAAACTAAACTATGATTTAAAAACGTCCAAACTCTTGCAAAAAGTATCCGCAGGTGCGGCTGTCTACGGTGACAGTTACAAATTATGCTGCGACAAGTTTAAAGGACCGGGTATTCGCACACATTCTTGTAAAGCACCAAAAGACGCCATATCTTCATGTGAAAATCTCCTTGGTCATGTGGTTAAACATATACTTATATGGATGGTAGCGATGGTTGGTTTAACCGGTAATGCTGTTGTCATTGGCTACCGCTTATTCTATGAGAAGCATTTGTTAAAACAAGGTTATAGAATGTTTGTTACACACCTGGGCTTGTCAGATTTTATCATGAGCGTTTACCTGATGATCATAGCAGGCGCTGACGTTTACTACCGTGACGACTACGTGTTGTATGAAGACAGTTCACTATGTAAGGCCGCAGGTTTCCTCGCTACTCTCTCGGCTGAGACATCAACTTTGTTCGTGCTGATGATCACTATAGATCGGTATTTAATCTTTAAAGATTCACTGAATCAGACAAAAATGACGCCAAAAATATTAACAGCTGTCGTTTCTCTTATCTGGGCTATTGGCACCGTTATCTCCACAATACCAGTTGTATTTCCTGACTGGCAGATTTACTCATCTAACGCTATGTGTCTGGGACTTCCAGTAAATGTGACACATCCTTTAGGATGGATGTTCTCTTTACTTCTCTATATTGGTATCAATTTTATAATTATCGTTCTAATAGTCCTAGGACAAATTGTAATATTTAAACACATCACTATGCCCAGAAGCTCTCTAGTTAGTTCATCTGTCCTTAAAAGGCGTGAAATCACAGTTGCCAACAACCTTTCGTTTGTCGTCATATCCAAAATCCTATGTTGGTTTCCTATTGGTGTTATTGGTCTCATGTCTGCCTCTGGTCATGTCTTTAGTCCAGACGTTTATGGCTGGCTGGCTGTAGTCGTATTGCCCCTGAACTCTGCCGTCAATCCAATACTTTATATTCTACCCGCTGCTTATAAAGCATTTAATAATTTGGGTAAAACTCGGCCAGAGATGTCGTAATATATAGTTTGTATTTCATCAAAACGTGGTTTTTTTAATGAGGAGAAACACGTGCATTCAATATGTAAAGTTTCAACAGATTAAATAATTATTTAATTTTTGTTCTTACACTGAAATATATATATATATATATATATATATATATATATATATATATATATATATATATATATATATATACATATATATATATATATATATATATATATATATATATATATATATATATATATCGTTTTCCTTATCTATATTATATTGATGGTTGTTTATTGTGTATTGTAATTGTTTTAGATGTAATTTTTTTTAATTTTTAATAATTATATTTTTATAATCATTCGTGCAATGCATATGGTAACATTCAATACATTGAAAACTATGTATATAATTAAAACCAATAACGCTGTCTTGTTGTAATGCTCATTACTTATGCAATTATTGTTAATCTTATTGTTTTTATCAAATTGCTTTTTAATAATTTAAAAATAATTAAAGGTTAGTTATGTAGATTTTTAAATATTAGTGCGAAATTATTAAAGTTGTATTCTTGTTTCACACAAGCGTCTATGTACTGAATTGTTCGCCTATCTTGCATTGATACAGAGAATCAACACTAAGTAAAACAAAACAAAAACACAAAACACTGGAACTATTGATCGTTTCATTTCATTAACTATTTCAAGCCTACAGAACAATAACAGTGGAGCTATGAATCGTTGGTTATTGGAGTAAGGACGTTAAAAAACCAAATCTGCGCCATGCATACGAATCCAATTGTAAATTATTTATAATATAAAAATAAAACTTAATTACACCAAAAAAAAATCATCCATTATGCGCTTCGCGCTTAACACGGGTAATTTCAGCTGTGGACATTAACACCCTCGACGTAAACATTGTAATAATTGTCAAAGCTAAACACTACATATAAATTTGTTTTAAATGTGCCTACGTTTTACACTATTTAAAGTACATTTAAAACAGGGTGATAATGTGCATATGAATTATTTTCAGATACAACAGACATCTCCTGACTAATGAGGAATTTAGGAATGTAGAGTTCTTCAAATGCGTAAATAATTGGCAAGCACAGTTACCAGCATTGGAATTTACAGGAATACCTTATGCTTTTGTTTGTGATGGATATATGGATTGCAAAGATAATCTTGATGAAAAGTGGTGTGTTAATATGATAAATTATGCTTGTGCAAATGAATTCCCCTGCACACCAAATATGTTGATCAATAAACATAGAGGCACGTGCTCTCTAACTACGGAGAGATGCGACCGTGTACAAAACTGTCTTGATAATAGTGACGAGAAGTTTTGTGAGAGCTGTTTTGAGACATTGACAAACGACGGATCGTGTTTACCTACCTGGTGGTTTACAAACAGTACCGAAGATAAAGATAGCATATTTCAACGTCGTCTCCATCTACCTACACAAGAGCTAGTCTTCACGAACTGTAAGGGTAATGAGTGTTTGTTTCGAAATGATTCTAGTAAACCTGTAACAATTTGTAAAACAAACAAAGAGATGAATATGAAGAATAGCGTTTTACAACCTAGCCAATGGAGTAGCGCTAACATTGCTGCATCGTGTTTTGCTATTCGAGGTCCAACCAAAAACAGACATTGGGGTTGTATGGATTTTTCACATTTGAAAGGAGACTGTGGCCTTATAACATGTGGTCTTGGGTTTTACAAATGCAAAATAAATCCAATATGTATTCCTTACTATCTTTTGATGGACGGTGTCAAGGATTGTCCATTCGGTGACGATGAACGTAATCCTCAGCATGTAAAATTCCCGTGCCGTAAGTCTGCAAAACATGAAGATCTGCTGTATAATAAACACCAATTGTGTGATGGAAAATTGGATTGCTTACTTGGTGATGACGAGGCGCTCTGTCATGAAAAATGTCCTTCGGGATTTTTCTGCCTATGGGGTGTTACTAAACTTATAGACTACCGTCAAGTAATTTATACAAATTTGTTTACCACTCTCGACTTAAACATAAAAGTGTTTCGTGCTTCTGGCCTTGATTTACTCCCGGCGTATGTTCCTAGGTATATCAGGATGGATAAACTTTTAGAACTGTATTTGTCAAACTGTAACCTAAACAATGCAAAACTAAATGAAATTTTATTTTCAATGAGCAACAGTTTATATAATGTTTATTATTTAGATCTGAGCTACAATAATATAAGTTTTGAGAATTCTGATATTCTTTTCTTTAGGTCCTTAAGAATTTTGAATTTGTCTCACACTTCAGTCTCAACAATACACTTACCATTGAGTAAATTAATATTTTTAGAAAAAATTGATTTGTCGTATACACCACTCAGTTCTTTTAAATTACTTAACAAAAGACGCTCTTTAATGAGTTACCTGAATTTAAGTTCAACATCGATAAAGACATTAGATTGGTATGAAGAAGAAATTTCTATGGACATTATTGACTTAAGAAATACTAAATTACTGTTTAATATGCGAACATCTGAACTGTTACAAAAAATGACTGCAAGTATTGCTATTTATGGGGATAGTTACAAATTATGCTGCGACAAGTTTAAAGGACCGGGTATTCCCTTACATTCTTGTAAAGCACCAAAAGACGCCATATCTTCATGTGAAAATCTCCTTGGTGATGTGGTAAAACGTATACTGATATGGATGGTAGCGATGGTTGGTTTAACCGGTAATGCTCTTGTCATTGGCTACCGCTTATTCTATGAGAAGCATTTGTTAAAACAAGGTTATAGAATGTTTGTTACACACCTGGGCTTGTCAGATTTTATCATGAGCGTTTACCTGATGATCATAGCAGGAGCTGATGTTTACTACCGTGACGACTACGTGTTGTATGACAATGAATGGCGAGACAGTTCTGTCTGTAAGGCCGCAGGTTTTCTCGCTACTCTCTCGGCTGAGACATCGACTCTGTTCGTGCTAATGATCACTATAGATCGGTATTTAATCTTTAAAGATTCACTCAATCAGACAAAGATAACTCCAAAAATATTAACAGCTGTCGTTTCTCTTATCTGGGCTATTGGCATCGTTATCTCCACAATACCAGTTGTATTTCCTGACTGGCAGATTTACTCATCTAACGCTATGTGTCTGGGACTTCCAGTAAATTTGACACATCCTTTAGGATGGATGTTCTCTTTAATTCTCTATGTTGTGATCAATTTTATAATTATCGTTCTGATAGTCCTAGGGCAAATTGTAATATTTAAACACATCACTATGCCCAGCAGCTCTCTAATTAGTTCATCTGTCCACAAAAGACGTGAGATCACAGTTGCTAAAAACTTGTCCTTTGTCGTCACATCCAACATCCTCTGCTGGTTTCCTATTGGTGTTGTTGGTCTCATGTCTGCCTCTGGTCATGTCTTTAGTCCAGACGTTTATGGCTGGCTGGCTGTAGTCGTATTGCCCCTGAACTCTGCCGTTAATCCAATACTTTATACATTACCAGTTGCTTATAAAGCATTAAGTAGTATGGGTAAGAAAAGAACTAAAGTCGTTACTCTCTCGTGAAATAACATTTTTTTCCCTTACAGACATGTTTTTTTACTAAATGTAATGTTCTAGTCTACGAAGTTATATTACATAAAATCTATTACAAATAATTTTAAATAAATATTTTAAATAATTTAAAGTTGAATCTGTGTAAATGTTGTTGGTTTTTTTTTATATTTAATAATTTCTAAAAAAATGTCTATGCTTATAAGTTATACAGATTATTTTATTAAATAAAATCTTAGTACCTTCAAATTTCTGGACAATCAACCTTAAATTTCTGTCTGTCTTCGACAGTTGAGAATCGATCATCATTTATTGACATTTTGTAATGTTTGTTTCCAGTTAAATAATACTTGTAACACATAAATTGATCTAAATATTTAAAAAGAGTAGATAGTAAAATAGTATCGTTTGGAAAACACTCTAAAAAACAATTTTTAAATTCGAAATTTGTGTATGTAGGTAAATGTTAAAAAGCTGTAATGGCTCTATTATTTTATTTATAAATATTTATTGTCCATTTTTATTTCTACATTTAAGTAATCATTGTATTGGTCACGTTGAAATGCCTTTTAAAGCATAGTAGTTATATGTTGTAATAATATGTTTTTTAATATCAGTAGTCTTTTTTGTTTGTTTTTTTTTTTGTTTTTTTTTTTGTTGGGTGATGGAGTCATGCGACGATTACAAAAAAAAAAGACAAAATTATTTGAATTAATATAAACAATTTGGACAACACATTGGAATTTGCATAATAATACAATTTCCGATGCATTAAAAAACATAGCTTTTTCTAACTTACATATATGTATCAAAAGTATTATTGGATTTTAAACATACAGAAAACCTTTTGTAACATAAAAACTTAAAGGAACTCTGGTGTGAATTCAAATATATGTACTTTAATATTGTGAATGTAGTTGTTTTTTTTTCTATTGAATTAACTTCTTAATATTTTTTAGAAATTGGTGTAACTAGATGTTTGACCTCCTAATTAAGAATTATTATTCCTGTTAAATAACTTGTGTAATAAACTTATCCAAATTAAAACAATTGTTAAGAGTTCTTCAATTTTTTTTAATATGAAGTGTATTTTGAACTCCAATCTTCAGCAAAATCACACTAACACATCAACAAATACTTATCTCCACATACGTGTCTTTAGAGAAAATCTTGGACAATCACCAATTGTATATGTGGATATGGATGAGGATGTTAGTTTGGTGTAGTTTTAAGTTCAGGATTTGGCCTAAGCGTTAGCGTATGCGTAGGCTAAGGCATAGGCGTAGGCGTAGGCGTAGGTGTAGGTGTAGGCGTAGGCGTAGGCGTAGGCGTAGGCGTAGGCGTATTTGTAGGTGTAGGTGTAGGTGTAGGTGTAGGTGTAGGTGTAGGTGTAGGTGTAGGTGTAGGTGTAGGTGTAGGTGTAGGTGTAGGTGTAGGTGTAGGTGTAGGTGTAGGTGTAGGTGTAGGTGTAGGTGTAGGTGTAGGTGTAGGTGTAGGTGTAGGTGTAGGTGTAGGTGTAGGTGTAGTTGTAGTTGTAGGTGTAGGTGTAGGTGTAGGTGTAGGTGTAGGTGTAGGTGTAGGTGTAGGTGTAGGTGTAGGTGTAGGTGTAGGTGTAGGTGTAGGTCTAGGTGTAGGTGTAGGTGTAGGTGTAGGTGTAGGTGTAGGTGTAGGTGTAGGTGTAGGTGTAGGTGTAGGTGTAGGTGTAGGTGTAGGTGTAGGTGTAGGTGTAGGTGTAGGTGTAGGTGTAGGTGTAGGTGTAGGTGTAGGTGTAGGTGTAGGTGTAGGTGTAGGTGTAGGTGTAGGTGTAGGTGTAGGTGTAGGTGTAGGTGTAGGTGTAGGTGTAGGTGTAGGTGTAGGTGTAGGTGTAGGTGTAGGTGTAGGTGTAGGTGTAGGTGTAGGTGTAGGTGTAGGTGTAGGTGTAGGTGTAGGTGTAGGTGTAGGTGTAGGTGTAGGTGTAGGTGTAGGTGTAGGTGTAGGTGTAGGTGTAGGTGTAGGTGTAGGTGTAGGTGTAGGTGTAGGTGTAGGTGTAGGTGTAGGTGTAGGTGTAGGTGTAGGTGTAGGTGTAGGTGTAGGTGTAGGTGTAGGTGTAGGTGTAGGTGTAGGTGTAGGTGTAGGTGTAGGTGTAGGTGTAGGTGTAGGTGTAGGTGTAGGTGTAGGTGTAGGTGTAGGTGTATTCGCAAGAAGATTAATAAATTTGTTACGCAAATCAACCACGATAAACAGAAAAATTAATCCGCATTTTTCAAAAACTTCACCCAGCGATACAACTACAACTGTTGTCGATAAGGGACATAACAATAACTATTTTTACGTTTTATTCTTAACATTCAATTAACTTGGCTTCATTCACCGTAGGTAAAAAAAAATCTTGTCGATTCTATAACAAAACTAATTATGTTAAAACAAATTTGATGAAAATGTTTCACTGTACTGAGTTGTATAAAAGTAAAGATACCTCTTTAAACCTTGCGATCAATTGGGCAGATGAAGTGGAGTTCATTTGTTTGAAGAGAAGGTGTAGTTAAGCACTATTCCTAGTCGCCTTTTACTTTCCTTAACATGATTTAGGTACCAATCAGATGTCTGTTTCTCAGGTACGTTCTACTACCTTGGAAAAGGAATTCGAACTAGAGATTTACGAGTTAGCAGCATAGTATTCTGCCACTGAGGCCACGCCGTCTCATTTACTGAGTTGAAAAGCCTCCCTTAAATTGTTTCTTATAATATCTCTTTTTTAATTTATACCTCGATTACACGTCGTGAATTACTGCTATCTAGACCGACAGAAAGTTAGCAGATAATCACCAATCACACAAACCCGCACATCCACCGCACTACCAGTAGTGTGACGTCTTTTATTGATCACCCCTAATTTAGCGTGCCCATAAAACTAATGTAGGCACCATGGTGATCATATAGGAACCTCGGGTCAAACGACCGTTGCTTCAAGTAGCACCTCTGCTTCCCTTGTGCTAAGAACTCCCAACTTACAAACATATATATATATATATATATATATATATATATATATATATATATATATATATATATATATATATATATATATATATGTAATATATATATATAGGGGTCGTCCATAAATGACGTCACACTCGTAGGGAGAGGGGGGCGTAATTTTGTGACGTGTGTGATGGGGGAGGGGGGTGTTCAGATGTTGCGACGTCACACTTTTTCATTATTAAAAAACGAATTTTAGACGTGGTTTTGCGTTTTAGAAAACTGTTTTAATAAATTGTAATAGGAATTGATTAAAATACTCTATTTTGACAGAGTTTCGACAAGATTTTGGAAAAATGTCGATGTTTTAAAAAAACTCAACTGCAATTTTGAGGTTTGGGGGGGGGGGGGGGGGGTTCTATGCTGAGGTGTAATGTCATTTTAGTGGGGGGGGTCTAGCTTTTTGTGACGACGTGTAACGGAAGGGAGGAAGGAGGTAATAATCGTCAAAAGAAGCGTGACGTCATTGATGGATGACCATGATGGATGGCCTCCTCCATGATGACGAGGTGAAACAATCATCAAATAACAAAATCAAAGACAGTCGGAAAACCAAGGCATAGCCAAAGCCAATGTTCAGTCGAACGTGCCAACCGAGATGTTCAAAACATGATGATGACATGGATGCAAACAAATGAATCAGCTCATTGGGCTGAGAGTCTCAAATTCATTCAATTTATGAAAAATCGTTCTTTTCATCAAGGTATCCAAAAATCGCCATACGAAGCCTTGTTTGGATACAAAGCAAAAGTGGGACTTAGCACTTCAAATCTACCAAGATAGGCTCTCGATAATTTAGTTGCTCAGGAAGATCTTGAGAACAATGAACAAGAAATGGAGGTTGCCTTAAATGCAACGACATCCTCAGCTAACACATCTACTGCCGTGGCGGAACGCCCAGACCAGTTGCGTGACAATAATGTGGCCAACAGATTCTGTATAGTTTGTGAAAAATATTGTAGTGCAGCTCATTCTTGTTGATCCTGTGGCAACGATGTCCATGCTATTTGCGGAATACCCCAATGAAGCAGACGAAGGTTACGGAGGAAATATTACCTGCAGATTGTGTCACAATAAACAAGACATTATGGACAACAGGTCAGCAGCTCATACAAGTTTGCAAACTCAAGGTGCTAAGATGCTTAAAACATCAAATACAAAATTTAAATAAACTGAAGTGGGTGACAATGTACGCATCCGTATACCAGATTTTGACAGAGGTCACTTTGATCCCCGAAGCGTCGAGGGCACTTTCTACAAGTTAGGAACGGAACATGGTGTTCTAAGACAACGGTATGCTAGAAGTGAGTTTTCAATTCTTCACGAAAAAATGCTCTTATTGTCGACAGTTGGCACTTAGGAAAAATTTCTACGAACCATCGCATCTTCACAATCATTGACCGTAGGCCAAGGCTACACTCGCTGCAATTGCACAACTAAGTGCCCAACAAATCGCTGCAAGTATAAAAATAACAAACTACTATGTAATTCTAAATGCCATAAAAGTTCAACTTATTGTAACAAATGATTATATTGATTGATTGAGAATATAGTACTTTAATGAATAATCAATAAAGACTAAATTTCGTGATCCTTACTGTATAAAAAAAAAAATCTGCTCACGATCTTCTAAATCAAGCAACGTTTCGGACTTTGACCGGTCAATAAGAGGCGATATTGGCCGGTCAATGCGCGCATTGGCCGACTTCGGGCTTTGACCGTAATATTATTATATATCTATACAAAAACGAAAATGTAACGAAACAAACGCTCAGTCGACTCTGGGCATCATACTGACAAGAACCCGTGACTTTCTGAATAAACGCCCTTTCCTCTACAAAACGTTCACGTCGCGCGTACTTTCTCGTATATACAAAGTATAGAGAAAGTCTTGTAATCGTGCAAAAAAAAATCGAGATCTTTTTGCAAATTTCGACGTTTTACAGCTCCCTGAGTCGGAAAAACATAGTTTTGCCATCTTGTCCGTATGTCCG